GATATAGACGAGTAATTGATATATAAATATATATTCTACTTGTTTGTGAAACTATTATCGCCATCATTCGAATTTTCTTTTCTCAGTACACTGTAACACCGACCATGGGAGGTGTAACTGCCTGTCGATCTTCGTACATGATGCCAGTGATTAACTTCGGCAGAACAATATCCATATTAGCGGTATACTCGTCCTCTCAATCAAGGTCTAATTGAGTGCTCCCTTTCTTAGGTCTCCACGGCATTCCTTGGTTCTCTTTCCACAGAGGCACCATTTGACACCTCTACCTTCACATTTCAGCGTTACCATTTACCGCAAGAGATGCCTCCAAACAGAGTGCGTCATCAATTCACGATAAAGAGAGATAGAGATAAAAAGTGACGTTCTGAAAAATGTGAAGGTCGCTGGTGTTCCACCAACACTGTGTCGGCCACGACGAGGAGCAGGGACAAATGGATCGTCGTTTCTCTATTGTTTCACCAACCCATCACCCCAACCCGAATCGACATCTGCAGACGCTGTCATCAATCAGCTCGCACTTCGGAAACCTTTTCCATCCCTAGCTCTCTCAGTGTATCATACACTTGTCTTCCTACAACCTTTGACCGTTACCATCCTTTTTACCATGACCACCAAATCCTAACCTATCTGTTCTTGAAACGATTTCTTCTTGTGAAGTATCTGTGTATGCATGTGGAAATTAGTTACTTACCGTATAACGATCGTTCAAGTTTTCACTCAGTCATAACGGAACCAACAAACAAGTACTCCTTACAAATTCTCATACCTTTTGTTTTGTTGCTTGTGGCAAAACGTAGTAGCAGGAAAAGAGCTAGAAAAAGCGTTGCTTTGCTTATGACGTACTAGTAGAGTCGAAGTCTCAGAGCAAGAGAGAAATAGACGGGATATTCGATAGAATGTTCCTTTACATGAAAAAACAAGCACTTGTCCATTGCTTTCACCGAATTCAAAATTAGAACCACCCTGTAGCGTCAATATTTTCGCGAATTTTTTTTTACATTTGCTTACAAATGAAGCAGTTGCGTCATCTCATCGGCCAAGCACCGCGCCCAGGTCTGATAGAGCCTGTGGCTCTCTGAACGAGATTGCTGAGAGGCCACAGTTCATACGAACTTTTATCTAATGGTACGGTAGCAACTCACAGCCATCTTAACGATCGACAAACCACTGCAGACTATTGGTCAATTTTTGTGCAGCTTTTCCTAGAAGAAAATATCATCTACTTATATCTAGCAACCCGTAGACATTTTGCCCGTCGCACTGTCACCCGTCATCTCGTGTTGCGGCATCGATGCATTGTTTCCGGTAGATATTCCTCAACCTAAAACCGCAAAGCGTCGAGATTAAGGGAGAATGGTATCCTATAGAGTCATTTCCTAACTCTCCTTACAGGTCCCTGGCTCCTGAATTCTCTGAAAAATTTTGTTAGGAGTCATTCTTATCAAATGATTCTTCACCATTGTGATCAGTAAATTTTACGCTATCCCGGTGAAGTTCGGCGAGCAATAATGATACCACCGAAAATGTGCAACATAATTTATGATACCAGTTGGCGCCGCACGCATTGCGCGCGCAACACAGATCTGCGGCGAATATTTGATGGTGCGACGAAAATTTTCAAATTTGGCTTGATACACTACGAATATCTGAATTCTCAGCTAGAATTCTATCCGCTCCATGATGGCTTTTGAACCTCTCCTTCTTCGTCAACCATTCTCCGCT